TCATCACTTTATTTTTTGTTTTGATTTAATTTTTTGTCAGTTTGTTAAATATAAGTTAAAGTAAAATTAAAAGGAGCACATTTGTAAATATATATATCAATATATTCTTGAAATATATCATCAAAAGAAGAGCCTATAATAAGTATTAGTTTATCATTAACAATAAACCCATTATGTTCATCAATATAACTTGTTCTTTTTGGCTGAAAAACACTTTATAAAATTACTTCTTTGATGAACTCGATCTGCAATATTTTATTAAATAAAACTCCTTTAACTGTATACCATCCAGGTTCAAGGATAGAACAGTCCAATGCAGTATGAAAATAGTTATCATATTGACTTGTTGTACATATTGTAAACGTTTTCTTAACAACATCTCTAGACATAGTTTCTACAGTATAAATAAAATCTTTATCAAATGAAAACGATGTGCTTTCGAGATTGTTTGTGGAGTTAAATCAACCACTTCATCTGTAGCTTCTTGACGGTATTTATGAACTTCTATTCTAATTAAATAATTTGAAAGAGTAATTAATGAAATATCATCAAAACAAGCATTTCCAATATCACTTCTAACAAATAATCAAACGTGATAGTCATATCCTTCAGAAACTAGAATGGGACTTTATGAAAATTTAGTGCAATCCTTTGTCCCTGAAACAAACCCAATGTGACAACCCCCTACTCATTTAGTAGTTCCTTTTCTGACTAAACAAATCCGGTTTCAACACTTCCACCTTCATTTTCTGTCTTTAATAGCTCCTGAAATATTATATCGTACGCACTCAATAACCTTATTAGAGAGAGTTTGATATGCTACACTGTTGTTCTTATAAATTTAAGTGAGTTAGTTATTGTATGTCTGACTGAACTGTCAATGTTCCAGTGAGTATTGTCTATCGCCCAATCAGTTGACCTTGACTCAAATCCTCCATTAAAAATTTACTCAGCATAAATGCCAGATATTAAAAAATAAACCAAATTCCAAATTTTTGTTCTATTAATTCAAAAGAATTTCTCTTATTTTTTTTTCACAACACAAGAAGTAAAATAATTCTTTAATCTTTTTCTCTCCTCAAATATCCTTTCTTCAACAAATACATTGGTTTTTTTATAAAACCTCAAGTGAATTAAATTAAATAATCAAACTGTTACTTTCTTCTGTTCCTACAAACTTAACCTAATTGTCTCTCACAAAATACTAATTCACTTTAACAATAACAATTTTAATTTGTTTCAACATTATTACAACAACACCAAAACTTACTTTAAAATCTTTTTTATTGATAAATAATTATCCTTATACGTCCTAGTCTCACTGCTAGTATGGGTTAATGTTCAGCTAACCTAATTGATGTTTAAGCAATAAATTATTCTTGAAGAAATTATTTTTATTTTAAAATGACAAAGACTGAAAAGGAACATTTTGGTTATAAAATTCAAATAAATTTTCAAGAAAAAATAAAGAAATAAAACGATATGATTAAAGAAAATAAAGTTAAAGAAGTATTATAAATACCTCATTAACTAATAAAAAGAAGTGAATAAATAAGCAAGAGAAAAAGGGCTCTATTGTAATTCAATAAAATAATCTTATGACGAGGACACAATAAATACAATGCATTAAAAGAAAAAACAAATAATAGATAATATTCTTTTATAACTTCATAAGTATAAAAGAGTGATGAATAATAAAATTTTAATAAAAATTATTTTCAAAAAACTGATGATTTAGAACATTGGTACCATATCACCAAATGATCTTCTAAAGAAATTACAACTCTTTGGATCCATTCTGCAAGTAACATCAAGTACTCTTCTATATTTATCCATAACATGATAATTTCTTTCAAACTTTTTAGCCATACCTTTAACAGTTTGTTTAACCATTTTACCTTCAATACGTTTTTCAAGATTTTTCTTTAAATTAGCTTGTTTTTTATTATATCTTTTAACAATTTTCTTTGATTCATATTTAACTTTAGAACGCATTTTATCAGCAATTTTTTTACAAACTTTTTTAGTAATTCTTAAATGTTTACATGTTCTTTTAATTTCTTTAGCAACAGCACGTTGGAATTTTTTAGCATTATATCTGTGGTCATGTTTTAATACATTAATTTTTGAATCAATAATATTCATTGCTTTAATAATTCTTTTTTCATTAGCAATAGCAATTTTTTCTTTATAAATCTTTTTAATAGCAGCTTTAACCTTTTTAGCATTATCAAGTTTTCTTAAAATAATGTTTTGTTTAACTGCACGAGAAACAATTGCTTTTCTAACTTCTTTTGATTTGTTAATAACAGTTTTTAATTCTGCTGTTAATTGAACTTTTTGTTTAGGGTCTTGTGTTTGTCTAAGTTTATAAATTAATTGAATAATTTTATTCTTTAAAATCTTAAACATTTGTTTTTGATTAGCAATACGTTTTTCTGCTGCAATAATTCTCTTTTTATATGATGATGCTCTTTTAACATGTAACTTTTTCATCATGGCTCTTCTTAATGCTCGTGCTCTTTGTTTACGAGCAAATCTCCTTCTATGCATTTCTCTTAATCGTTGAACTCTTCTTCTTTTAACTTCTTGTTGTCTTCTCCATCTTCTCATTTGTCTCTTCCAATTTCTGAGCCAATGTCTTCTTAACCACCAATTTCTGTAATGCCAAAAATGTCTATGTCTTCTTCTGCGTCTTTTATCATCATCATCGTCTTCCAATTCATACTCTCCATCATCGTCATCTTCATTATCTTCTTCTTCTAAATCATATTCATCTTCTCCATCGTCTTCTGCTTCAATGACTTCTTCTTCATTGTCATTTTCATCAACACTATTATTACTTTCAATTCCATATTCATTTTCTAATTCAGCCTCACTTTCTTCTGCATAAGAAAATGAAATGAACATCGCTAATAATACTAAAAGAAGTACTTTCATATTATTACAAATAATATGATTTTAGTTCTTCCCTTGTTTTTTAGTTCCTTTTTCTTTTTTTTTTTTTTCTTTTTTTATATTCGATAAAAATCAATATTTTTATTTCAAAGTATTTCCATTAATCTTTAATAATGTTTTTTAAAACAAATTTTATATTTTTCTTTTTTGGTTCTAGAAATTACTTTTTTTAGTGTTATGAAAATTTTAATTTTATCTGTTTTCTTTATTTTTTGAAACGGTTTTTGAATAAGGAAGTAATAAAGATACATAAATAAGAGAAATGAAAGAACAAGAAGATGTATAATTTATTAATTATTATTACAATAAAAACAAAATACATCAAATAATTAATATCATTAATACAAATGAAATAGTAATCAATACATTAGATGATTCTACCATTATATTAAAACTGTAACCTCCACTATTAACATAATTATTAATAACAATCAAGAAAGAAATTGAATGAGAAGTATAGAAAGAATACTACAATCAAAAAATATGTAGATTAAGAGATTTAATCTTTAATAATCAATATATGAAATTAAAAATAATATTAAATATTAAAAAAATATGATATATATCATATTAAAATAAAAACAAAGGAGCAAATAAACTATTACAAATATCTCCAAAGAATGAAAAGAATAGAAATAGAAGTAAGAATAATTTGAACAGAATAAGATGGAATTATAAAATGATAAAATAATGAAAGAGACAACTTCTAAATAAACATAAAGAAGATGAATATCCAGATAATATTACTACAATTAATTTCTGGAAATGAATCTATGAAAATAACACCAATATAGATTTCATAAATATTAATTTATATGATATATTAATTGAAAATAGAATTAATAATAGAATGTATATAATCACTCTAGATGAATTAAATCATGCAATAAAATTCATTGCTAATTGGAAAGCACCTGGAATTGATAAAATACAAGGCTTCTGGATTAAATAATTAGAACAACCAAAGAATTTCTTTTTAAAATTATTTAATGAAATATTGTATAATCATAATGATATCTATATTCAATTCATTAAATGAAGAACAATATTAATATACAAGAAATGAGATAAATTAGACCCACAAAATTACAGACAAATAACTTGTCTAAATTATATGTTAAAAGTATATACATCTTTATTAAAGATGAAGATAGAAAACCAGTTGATGCTAAATCAAATTGAAAAACAATTATCACAAAACCAAATTGGATGTAAAAAATATACATATGCATCAAAAGAAGGATTATTATACAATATTATAATCATTCAGTTATTAATTATGGATAAATGGAAGTTGGTAGAAACATATTATGATATTTCTAAAGCATATGATAATATTAATCATCAATGGGTTAAACATTGTTTAATTTATTTTAACATCACATTAGTTGTAATTAAAAGTATATTATATATATTAAATAACACATAACTCCAATTATATTATAATCAACAAAATGTTGGTATAATTAATGTAGAAAGATGAATAATACAAAGTGATAGTTTATCTAAATTATTATTTGTATTATCTATTGATATATTATCTAAATAATTAGATAAACAAATTAATAATTTATATATTAAAATGAATGGAGAAGAAAAACAAGTAAAGTTAAACCACATATTATATATGGATGATTTAAAGATAATAACTAACAACATCGAAGAAATGGAAAAAGCCCACAAATTAACAAAAGAAATATTTAATGTAATATGATTAAAAATAAATGTAGAAAAGAGTGGGATAATGAATAATATCAATGGTCAGATAAATGGAGAATTAGCTGAATTACCAAGAGTAACTAATGATAATTATTATAAATATCTTGGTATTGAAATAAGAGATAAAATAAATATTAATAAATATTGTACAAGATTATTAAATGATGTATCTTCTATTCTATCATCATTAAATATTATGAAATATAGCAGCATCAATACAATTAGAAAAATTAATAATGATATAATCTCAAAGTTAAGATATTGATTCTGTATTATCAAATGGAAACTTGGTGAGTTTGAGAATATAGATAAACAAATAATAAATTCATTGATACAACTCCAACTATACAGTAGAAACATCAATAAAAGTAGATTATATGTTATAATAAATGAATTATGAATGGGATTAATGTCAGAACTAGATGAATGTTGTAAAGAAATAATAAGAATATATTTAAAATATAAATATCAAATACAGAAATATTAGAAATGATAGAAATAGTAAAAGAGAATCCAAAATGAATAATTAAAAGAATGAAGAGGGCATTTGGTAAGAAGATTAATTTCAATGAATTAATGAATATAATACAGTTAAACGAAAGAAAATATGATGTAAACAAAGTATTTGAATGGGTAACAAATAAAATAAATGAAAGATATTTAAATGAATGGAAAGAAATGTAGTGAATATATAAGAAATGTAAATTGTATATTTAATATTATGAAATTAACAGTAGCCACATGGAGGTCATTAAATATAAAAAGAAATATATTCCTCCAAGTAGTAAAGATGCAAGAAGGAGCAACTATGACAGGAAGTATTAAATCTAAAATACTTAATTGTGAAGCTTTAATTTATTGTAAACATTGTTATAACACAATTCCATCTATTAATCATATATTGTTAGGATGTCCTGTAATGAAGAAGAATCAAATATTAAAACATGATTATGTATGTAAACAAATATATAAACATATATTAATTACCCATTTTAATGAATTTGATGAAATAGATTTTAATGCACAACATAAATATATTAATAATAATGAAATGGTTATAAATTACAATAATGATTTATTGGTTAGTGACCATTCGTTTAATGCTAGAAGACCAGATATATATTATCAAAATGTCAAAGAAAAAAAAGGATATATTATCGATGTCGCCATATGTCAAGATAGAAATAATGAATTAAATTATATTTACAAAATTAATAAATACAAAGAATTACAAGAGAAGCTAAGACAAAGCAGAGAAATAATTTATGTAGAAATAATACCTGTAATATTATCAATCAAATTAATACATAAAGAAACAGTAAGAAGATTAAAATCACTAAAATTACAAATCAACTTCCCCAAAATACTACGAACAGTCATTATAAAAAACATGAAAGACTTAATGTTCTACACAGGAAACACTGGCAACATATTAGAAGAGGAACCATCTAATTCTCATATCTTTAGAAATGAACTCTATTGTAGAAATAGACCATATTGAAGAAACTGAAACAATCACTTCTCAATATTCATAATATCAAATTATGGATATATCTATTAAATTGTCATTTTTTTTGAAAGGTTTTTGAATATAACGCGTGGTGTAAAATTTTCTTTAACATAAAAAATGAAAAAGAAAAGAAAGAAGAATGAATAATAAAGAAGATATAAACCATCTTTAAATTAAATCAAAACATTTTATCATTTTATGTGGCTTTACAAATTACAACAAAATGCACTTTCCTGATTTTGAATTTCCTTTTTTATTTCCACCAGTTCCTTTTAATTCTTTTTGCATATTTTCAAATGCCTCTTTAACTCCTTCTCCTGTCTTAGCACTAACCTCAAAAAAGACTATCTTTTTCTCTTTTGCAAATTTTTGTCCTTGTTCTGTACTTACAATTTTTTCACAATCTTTTTTATTACTTAGAAGATAAATGATAGGTTTCTTTCCTTTCGTATATGTGCTGATATCATCAAAAAATCCCCTTAAATCTTCAAATGATGTCTTGTCATCTTGCGCATATACTAAAAACACTCCATGACACGACCTATAATATGATGACGTTACTGTACGATAGACTTCTTGTCCTGCTGTATCATTCAGATTAAATACATAGATTTGATTCCCTTCTGTAACTGTATGTTGTTGTGACTCAGGAATAGTACTCGGAAGTTCTTCATGAAACTTTCCTTCCTATTTGATTAATACTTTCTTCTTATCTTTTTATATTTTTATTTTCTTGTTTTGTTTTCTTCATTTCTTTTTTTTTCTAAATAATAACAAACTATCATTTGATATATGAGAGACGTCTTTCCAACAGATGGATCTCCTGTGAAAACTATTTTAAATTCTGTTGTCATTTTATCGCTACATATTGATTATTTCTTTTTTTTTTCTTTAGAAATGATAACCTTTTTGTTTTCAATTCTTTTTAAAAACATTCTCTGTTAAAAACAATAATCAAACCCTTCATATAAACTAGATTCCTTAGCCATGAAAGTTCTTTTCTATTTTGTCAGATCTTCTCTATTTTCTTTTTTTCTTTTTTCTTCATTTTTTTACTTTTTTACTATTCTTTTTACTATTTCCTTCTTTCCTTTTCTAGTTCATTCTTTCTATTTTTGTTTATTTTTACTTCCTTCTCTTTTTTCTGTTATTTAAATAACAAAAATATTAAATTCTAAAAGTGATGTTAGTTGTCAACTTCAATATATGGATCTTCTGAATATGAAATGTCTGATTCTGGTTGGTTTTTCTTCTTTAGAGGTGAGTCTTCTTCATTCTCTTTTAATGACCTTCCAGTTGGTGTATCGAATTTCTTTGTATTTAGTGAGAGTTCAGCAAAATGTCTTTGGAGAGAAGGTCGAATTTGGTTTCGTTGTATTCCAGGAGAATAAGCAGCTAATTCAGGTTTTTGAATTGGACTTGGGGCTCTAACTCTTTCATACATTGGAGGTGTTTTTGATTGAGGGGGTATTGGTGGTTGTTGAAAATAAGAAGAAGATAAAGATTTAGAACTTATTGAAGAACTGAAATTGGGTGATGTTGTAGAAGGAGTAATAACATTGAATTGAGTTAAAGGTGTTTTATTAAATGGGTTTTGACTATTCAGTTTGTTTGGTTGAACTGGTACATTTGATGGAACAAAAGTTTGCAATGGTTTTGTTATAGTGAGTTGGTTTAGAGTGGATGAAGGTATTGAAGAAGATACAACAGGGTATAGTACAGACGGAGTAACGTTCATTGTTGTTTGTAGTGAGGGTTGAATTACAGTTGGATTGTTTTGAGTTGATATATTATATGAATTTCTTAAAAGTGATCTTTTTGAATTTATTTCATCATCAGTAAACTTGTATGATGGTCGTGGAGCATTTATTTTAGGTACGTTTGGTGGAGGAAGATGTGAAATGAAAGAAGTTTCAAAATCATTCATTGAAAAAGTTTTTCTTGATACATTTGATACTTTAAATAACGGTTGATGACCATTAGAAACACGTGGTCGTTTAGGTGCATCATCAAATTTTAATTGTTGGTATATATATAATTGTTGGTCTAACTTCTTCTGAGTTGAATTTTTGATATAAAGAATAACTAAAATAATAAAAATTAAGCAGAGAAGTGATAAAATGATTAACATTTTAACCTTTTCTTATTATTTTAAAGTTAAAACTTTTTTTAGTTTTTATGTTTTGTTTCTTTAATATAAAAGTTGTTTGTTCAGTTGAAAAATTAATCAAACATAAAAATCACTGTTATTTAATTTAATTTGATGCTATTATTTTAAATGACTCATTTTAAGTTATTCATCATTCATTTCAGAAAGAAATGAGACTAATGCTTTTGTTGCAATTTCTACAAATTGAAATATAACATACTCATTTGGTTTATGAATAACTGCTTCGTTTCCTGGGCCAAAGATTATGACTTGTGGTTTGTTTTTAGTATGGGCAAATGCAGCAGCATCAGTTGCATATGCCATTCTTTTAATTGAACTTTTAGGCATTTCTTTATAAATGCATTTTGTTAATAGTTTAACATATTTATTGTTGATATCAGTTGTGACTGGTAGTTCCTTACTTTCTTCATAAAGGACAAACTTAAATCTTGTTGTAGATTCAATAGAAGCAATAATTGTTTTAATATTATTCATAATATCTTCCACTGAAATGTATGAAGAAGTTCTGATATCAATCTCTGTAACACAATAATCAGCAACAACATTTGGTGCATTTCCACCTCTAATTGTTCCAATATTAAATGTTGTTTGGTTTGTATCATCAGGTGATAGGGGTAAATCTTTTTTAATCCATTGTATGAGAGAACACATCCCTTCAATTGCATTTAAACCAAGACTTGGAGAACTTGCATGTGCAGAAATTCCATGACACTCTATTTTTAATCTTAATTCACCTTTTTCACTAATTCCAATATCCAAGTTGGTTGGTTCATCGACAATAATTAATTCAACTGATGCAAATAACTCTGGGTATTGCTTAACAAGATCTTTAGCACCTAAAGTACCATCCTCTTCTTCACTTGAAACAATTAATAGAATTGATTCTCTAATCTTCATTTGCATATCTTGAAGATACTTTAAGACACATAATTGACTTGCTAATCCACTTTTCATATCAGCTGATCCTCTTCCATAAACGTAGATGTTCCCAGTTTTTAATTCTATTTCTTCTGTTGCTTCAAGGGGTGGATATTTCCACTCTTTCAAATCTCCAACAGGAACTGTATCAAAGTGTGAGCTAAAAATAATTTTGTGTGGTTGTTTGGTCCAATAAGCAACAAAATTTATTTTATTTGGGTTATTCTTTGTGGGTATAGTTTCAACAGTCATCCCAATCCCTTCACAAATTTCTTTTAATAACCTAATAATTTCAAAATCATCCCTATTGAAACTTTGTGTATCACATCTAATTAATCTTCTTAATACAGTTTTAAGAAATTCAGTATCAATATTCATACATTGAACAATTTCTAACCACATCCTTAAATATCAAATTTTTCTGTTTCTTTTCATTTCAAATGTCTCATAAAGAATTGTCTATTCATTTGGAAGTGTGTATTTGTCAAAACAAGAAATGAAGAATAATGCTTTGTGTGGAGAAACAACTTAAATTATTTTTACTTCTTTAATCTTGATTTTATTCAAATATTACACAAACCATAATTACTCTACAAATTTAAATCAATTAAAAAGAAATAATAAATTCATAATTAGTTAAAGCAAGTATTTTACTGCAATGATAGAATATATTATATCATTATTATTATGCATTTTCTTTGTTTTTGAATTATAGAAAATACAGTATATATAATGATGTAATTTGTATTAATTCATTTCCTTAATTTTAACAAAACTAAATACTACTCAAAATAATATATATTAAAGCATTTTTATACTTCTTTTTACTTTATTTATGAGAGAAAACATTCATTTCAAATATTCTAATAACATTTTTTTGTTTATTATCTGTTAAATTAATTTTTTCTTGTTGTTATTTTTTTTATATATTGAATAATTTAAAGAAATCAAATAGAATTGTTGTTTAAATAATATAAACAGTGACAATAATAGGTTTCACATACCAACAAAATGAAAAACAGTTTACTGGGAATTGACCTAATATTTAAAAGTAGGTGTATTACTATTTGTCTTCTTTTTTTGGTAAGAGTGAAATAATTATAATTGTGACTATGATGAAGATGTATAAAATTACTATGGATTTTGTTAAATATATATACTGATAATAAAAAACACAAATTAAACTTAAAAAGAATGATTGTTATGTGAGTTTATTCAAAAGTAATGACAAGAAACTATTCTAATTGAAAAATATATCTTTATTGGTCATTTATTAGAATGTTCCCTTTTATCAAAGTTTCATTATAAAATTATTGGAACTAATTGTAAAAGATCATTAGGTTATTTGTTGATTGTTTGTAGAATTAATTTCTGGTTATATACAATTGAACGGATAGAAATAGATACTAAAAAATACTTTCTTCAAACAACAAACATTGATTTTGTATTAAATATTTTAAGGATAGAGTACTTGCAAATCCCTCAAAGACAAATCAAAAGACAAGTTAATAGAATCTTGAGATAAAAGCACCAAACAATATTTATCGCTCAATTATATGAAAATGTTATGAAATGAAAATACTGACAAAAGGTAATAATGTAAATTATCAGAAATAAAACAATTAGAATTTGTTTATGACATAGTATCTAGTTAATTCAAAAGACTTAATCAAATGTTATATGACAAAGAATTTGTAATGTTAATTGACTAGAATTAAATAACACTATTTCTTATAGTGTGATTATAACAGTAGAAACATGCTTTGTCTCATTATTTATTCCATTCCAATTCTTTCTAACATTTTTACTACTTCTTTTATCGTTATTCTTTCTTTCGGTTCTTGTTTCCATGTTTTTTCAATGATTTCTTTAATACCTTCTTTAACTTCTTGTATTATTGTTGGTCGTTTACCTGTTGATATGAATTCTGCTATTTTCCATGGAAATTTAAATTCTGTTTTAGGAAATGGTTCTTTCCATGTAATGATTTGTAACATTGTTATTGAATATGAATATATATCTGATTCCATTTTATAATGTTCTCGTTTCAATACTTCTGGTGCCATGTAAATAGGTGATCCTATCCCTTTTGTGAATGTCATATTTGTCATCATCATATTGATGTTTCTTGAACTTCCAAAATCTGTTAATTTACAATTAACTCCAATATTATCATCAAGTGTTACAACAAGAAAATTATCTGGTTTAATATCTCGATGTAATATTCCATTTGAATGAAGATATGAAATTCCTTTTGCTCCATCTATCATGAATTTAATTCTTATTTTATTTGGTATTTCAGTGTTTGTTCTTTTATTAATTAAATCTTGTATTGATCCATATTTTGCATATTCTGTTATCATACATATTTTATTAGGAATAAATACTGCTCCATAAAAATGAATGATATATTCACTTCTAAATTTATCTAACATCCCAACTTCTTTCTCAAATTCTTTCATTTTATCTTCATCTTTATCAATTTGTTTCATTTTCTTAATTGCTACTTGATTCCCTCTAAATTCTCCGATATATACAATTCCAAATGATCCTTCTCCTATTTTCTTTTCTTCTTTTAATTCATCTGGATCAAGTCGTGTTGATAGTTCTGTTTCTGCTTTAATTTTGATATTAGATTCAGTTGTTGTTCCTTTCTTCATATCCAATGAAAATAACTTAATAATATCTTCAACTAAACAACTGCATAATGGTTTAATAAACACTTCAAATTCAAGTGCCTTTCCTTTTGGAATAGTCATTAATTGTGGATTTGTTCTTATTTCGTATTTATCACATCCTTCTTTTACACTAAATTGAACTTTAATTGTGTTTTTTCCTTTATTTCCAATACATATCAATTCTCTTGTTTCTTGATTTACAGGAATTTGAACTTTTTCATCATTGTTATTTTGGTTGTCTATCGTAAAGTGAATTACTTCTTTGTTAATTACGACATCTGGATTATCTGTTGAATGAAATTCAATATTAGATCTTGACATATCAAAAATACAATATTTCTTTCTTAATTCTTCTTCTTTTCTATAACCCAACACTCTCTTAATAATGTAAATCAATAATACTATAATTACAATAATGATTATAAGTAGGACTATAACACAAATTATTATTAACCAGACTTCTATATGTGAATTACATGCTGTTTTATTAATATCTGGTCGATGCCAAAATGAACATTTTGTACATTGAGAATTAGATACTTCTATACAATGATCAACCATTGCTTTGTTAATACATTTATCATCAATTAACACATATTCATTTGTACATGAATTACATACCCCATTTTTTGAACAGTATTGACAATATTCTGTTGTTGAATTACATGATGAACAGTATTGGTTTGAAACATAATACCCTTCTTCACATGACTCACACCCTCTACTCGTCTTTATTTTACAATGTGTTAGTTCATCAAATGATATACATCCTGTTGTATTTTCTAATAAGAAATAATTACCATCACAAGAATTACATTTATCACTTTCATAACATAAATTACAATGTTCTAAACATTTTTGACATAGTCCATTATTCGTTCTGTAATAATGAGAATTACAAACAGCACACTTATCTCCTCCAACAATAAGTAATCTACAATTTTGAATAATTGATGAGGATAAAATACAACTAGTATTTATTAACGAATATCCTTCTGTACATGTGAAACAAGTGTCTTTATTTGAACAGGTTAAACAAGCCGAATTACAAACAATACATGACTGTGATAATTCATCATAATAATAATTATCTTTACATCTTAAACATAAATCTTTTTGTTCTCCTCTCCAAATACTACATTTTTCTATTAAATTTGTTTGTATTTTTGTTTTATCAACACATTGAGATGTTAATGTGTCATAAATATATCCTGGTTGACATTCATAACACATTGCTTTATTTCTCATTGTTAAACAATTGTTTGTATTCACACAACTTGTTCCATCATAATATTTATCTTTATCTTTACATCTCATACAATAACTTGTTTTTATATCTTCATTTACCAAACATCCTGTTGTTGTTGGATCTACACAAATACCATTTTCATTAATAATCCCATCTAAGCAAAGAGTACATTGATTAGGAGTACACTTCTGACATAATGAACCAAATTGATTACATGACTCACATTGTCCATCTGTTACTCTATAATTATTTTCACATTCTATTACATTGATGTTACTTGTTATTTCTGAGTTTGGAATTGTTGAACATTCTTTAGATGAAGTAAGAACAGTTGAATTTGAACAAATGGAACACACACTCTCTTCATAATTTCCATCTTTTATAGAACAATACTGACAGTTTGTTGAACAAGAAGAACATGTATTTCCAATAGAATAAAAAGAGTCATGACATTTTATAACTACATTATTTATTATTAATTCAATATTTGGATCTACTTTATTCAAACAATTTCCATTATCCAAATAATGATTATCTTTACATTGAATACATACTCCATTTAAACACTTTAAACAATTTGATGGACATGTGGTACATATCTTATCTTCTAAATAATAGTCCTCCTCACATTGAATACACTCATTTAATGATGGGTATTTTAAACAATGTTTTGGTATCTCATTATCATATGGACAATATCCATTGACCACTGTGTTTTTACATATACTACATTTACTTGTTTCACCATTAAATAATAATGACTGACATGGATATTCTGAACCTATTCTCGTGGAAAGTTTATTTGTATTGTTTTGATAAAATCCTATTTTATTTCCAGTGAGTAATATCTTACTTCCAGTTTCAACACTTAGTATAAATTGATTTGATGTTTTTGAGTTTGTGATAATGGTAACAATGTTTTTATTTCCTTTTATTCGTAATGTGGTTAGTGATTTGTATTGTTGTTCAATGATTTGTGTAGTAGAATCAATCAACTCAATAATACCTTGATATTCTGATGCAATAATAATTGTATCTTCTTTACTAAATTTAGTAATACAATTCAAACCATAACATGGACAATGAATAATTGATCCTTCGATATTCTGATACGTATTTGTATTGCTTATTTTGTTTGTATCCAGTGTGCAAACAATAGTTGAATTAATATTACTTGGTGGACATACTCTAAGTAGTTTCTTTTCTAGTATATGACCATTATTTACAGTGACACTAATAGATGAACTTGAAGAGATAAGTTCAAAACATTTTGATTGAGACATCTGAGTAGTGATACTAATTGAAGGTTTAATACTAGACAATGTCCCAAAGTTGATGATAGTTCCATTCTGATTTAGATTGTTAATCTCTTCAGTTGTTATGATTCTTGAAACTGAAAGTGATGCTTTTTCTTCTATAACAATAGTTGATTTTGAATCAATGAACAATGAATTGCAGATCATCTTTCCCTCAACAAGAGTAACTGAAGTTGATTCAAATCGACATTCTTGAACATTCAGTTCCTTATTTGTAGGAACAGAAAATGAATAATGTTTGTCAGGTTCTGGAATAATTGAATACCATTCACAAAGGTTGAATATAATTGGTGTTGAAGTTACTTGGTTAAATCTAAGGTCAAAATAAGTACTGTTTGATGAGCAATCAGCAAAATCATAATTAGATTTATCAGTAGATATTGTTTGTGAGTAAGAAGTACAATAACACATAGAATGTGGTGAATTATCTGAAGAATCAAATGCCATATATCTTTGAATTGCCTTTCCATTGACACTTCGTGAACACACAGACTTTGGCTTAAATTTGTATTTACTATTATCATTAGTATTCACAGAAGTGATTCTGCCAGTGAACAAATACCTCCATGAATCATTGGAACTTGTTCCACTGAATAAATCAGTTGTAAAATTACATGAAACAGTTTGGTCAACAGCCCCATCAATATAAATGAATGGAACTGTTGGAGCGCTAAAACTTTCGTTCCGTTTGTTGAAATCAACAACCCATTTCTCATTAATTTTAGAATAAACAACAATTGATTTATCATAACTATCAATATGAGTTCCCTGACCATCATCAACATCCTCACGACATCCACTCTTTCCAAAACAACCAATACCAACAAAAAGACCATCAGTTCTAGCTCCATGAAAAATCCATATTGTTTTTTTTGAACTTTTAATTTCAATCATTAATTGTTTTAACGAACTAGGTTGAGAATATGATGAAAATGAAAAATACATATGTCTACCGTTAGGTTGATCAAGACTACTAAATTTTTTGACTGATCCTATTCTATTGTCAGATATTGTAAACCAATCAACGTCTTTGTTATCACCAAATTTATTAGAGTATTCCCATCCATTTCTATAACAATGAGTTTGGAGGGGGTATTTAACATAATTATCAACACTATCACACCAATAATCAATTCTTCCAAAAGAAAGTACAATAAGTGTGAATAAAACAAGAGTTGTTATCATCTCACTCAAACAGAATTTAGAGTTTTTTAAAGAATTGAAGATATTATTCAAAAACTAACTCAAAAACATTCTTCAAATTTGATGGGGTATAAATGGTTATTTCTTGTAGACAAAAATGTATCCAATGATATTAAAAATAATTTGATATATGAAAATAAAATGTAATGTAAATGTTATTAGAAATAATTAAAAAAAAAACAGTAACAATGATAAATCATATTAAAGAATAAGTTACAACAACTCCTCAATAAATAAATTGAATAACTCGTAATGAGCATACAGATAAAATCTATTATGAACAAATGCATTTTGATATTTAAATAAAGAAAAAATAGTTTTAATGTTTAAAAAAGAAGAAAAACATTTTATCAAAAAAAAAAAAAAAAAAGATAATAAAAAGTTATCTATAAAAAAATAATTCAACAAATAAGAAATTAATATTTAAAGAATAAAACAAATAAATCAAAAAAAAAATATGAAAGAAATTCAATTAAAAAATGAATGTTTATTCAAGAAAGTAAAGGTGTTCCTTTATTTCTTATTATGAAGTAATTCAGCACCAGCAATACCTGGAGTAGTCATTTCATCAGGTCTTAAAATAATATCAAGTTGTTCTTTAGTTAAAACACCCTTTTCAAGAATAATATCTCTAACAGGTCTTCCACTTGCAATAGCTTCTTTAGCAGTAGCAGCAGCAACTTCATAACCAACATGTGGATTAAGAGCAGTAATAACTCCAACAGAATTATCAACAAACCATTGCATTCTTTCTTTATTTGCTTTTAAATCATGAACAAGATTTGTTCTAAAAGTAAAGAATGCATTTTTCATTATTTCAAGTGAAGTAAGAAGATCATAAAACATAACTGGTTCCATAACATTAAGTTCAAATTGTCCAGCAGCTGCAGCCCACATAATTGTAGTATTATTACCAATAACTTGGAAACAAGTTTGATTCATAACTTCAGCAATAACTGGATTAACTTTTCCAGGCATAATAGAACTTCCTGGTTGTCTTGGTGGTAATAAAATTTCACCTAATCCACATCTTGGTCCTGAAGTCATTAATCTAAGATCATTAGCAACTTTACTCATACAACATGCAATAATACTAACAGCAGCATGAACTTCAAGATAACAATCAGAGTTTTGAGTTCCATCAACAAGATCAGGAACATTTTTAACATTTGTTTTACTAATTTCTGCTAATTTTGTTGTAACTGCTTCAATAAATTTTGGTTCTGCATTTAATCCTGTACCAACGGCAGTTGCTCCCATATTAATTCCTTCAAATGCAACTTTAGATTTTTCTAATCTTTCCCATCCTCTTTTAATAATACAATTATATGCTCTAAGTTCTTGAGAAAATCTAATTGGAACAGCATCTTGAAGATGAGTTCTTCCCATTTTTAAATAATCATTAAATTCAACAGCTTTCTTTTCAATTTCTTCATAACAAAGTTTCATTTCTTCTATTAATCTATCAATTTTCCATAATCCTGCAATATGAAAAGCAGTTGGGAATGCATCATTAGTAGATTGTGACATATTAACATGAGTATTTGGTGAAATAATATCTGGATGATATCTACTTTGTCCCATTAATTCTAATGCTCTATTTGCAATAATTTCATTACAATTCATATTAAGTGATGTTCCAGCTCCTCCTTGAATTGGATCAACAACAACTGATTCATCAAATTTACCTTCTGCTAATTCACGTGCTGCTTTCATAATATAATCTGCTTTTTCTTTATCTAAAATACCATCAACACAATTAGCATAAGCTGTAGCTTCTTTAACATATCCAAATGCATGAATAAAATCTGGATCAACTTTATGATGTGTAATTGGGAAATTTTTTGTAGCTCTCATAGTTTGTGCTCCATAATATGCATCTTTTGGTACTTGAACTTCTCCAAGTGAATCTTTCTCAAGTCTATATTCCATATCTGTTTTTTATTATATTAAGTTTTATTCAACTTATTATTTATATATGCTCTACCTTGTTTTTTGGTTTCGTTTGGAAGGAGAGAAGAAAGATAAAGAATTGGTAGAAGCCTTTTATAATCGATCGAAGCAAAAAGTATTTCTTCTACTTTTAAAAGAATAATAAGAATATGATATGAATAGAATGTAATTCGGTTCTTTTTGGTTCTTTTTTCTTTGTTTCTTTCATTTCTTTGTTTGTCTAAATTCTTCACTTAAATTTGGTCAATTCTTTCTCATTGGAAATAGTTAAATGACGTGTGAATACTTGTTGTTCGAGTTGAATTCCAATTGAAAAAATTAGATCTATTTATTCATTTTGTTCATTTATTGAAATCTATCAAATCAAAATATCTCTGCTATGTTAAATTACTAATTTATCTTTCAAAATTAAATTATCTTGGAAATATCACTTATTGATTTTTTTATTTGTTCTATTACCTAATATTTGATCATTATTGAAGATATTCTATCTTCTCAAAGAATTTCATTTTTAAGATTGACTTTGAGGTAATCATAATGAAACCAAAAAATTATATAGATGATGATGAAAAAGTACCAAAAAAATCGCATTTTAAAACCAAAAAAAAAACAAATACTTTAAATCTATCCAAACCATCATCAAAAAGTATTGTGTTTTTATCATTCTTCTTCTTCTTTTTTTTTTTTTGAATTTAAATAAAAACAGATATTACAAACTGTAACTTTATATTCATATAGTTATGACAATAAATATGACTACAATTGATTAAAAGTATTTCTTTTTTACTATTTATGAATGAATTTCTTGATAAAACACTTTCTTATTTTATTTTTTTAATAAAACTTATAATATTTTGTGTAAAGGAAAGAAATCTCATGAACTTACTAAGTGAATAAATCACTAAGATTAAACAAATCAATAAATCATTAAAGATTAATTTTGATATATTTTTACAAAAAGAATAATACTCATTTTTATATCATTTAAAAGAATTTATTGATTTGTGAGTTGTAATTAATTGATTAAACCAACTTAGAAGAATAATGTAGAAATGAATAGATGAAATCTGATTAGATTACTTTTTTTAATAAAATAAGTTAAATTTTTATTTCTTTTATTTCTTGAAAGTGATATAACACAAAATAAACTTTGTCATCACAATATGTTTTTCTAATTAGTCATAACAAATAAATGTTTTGTATTTCCTTCATTCTTTAATATGGGTTTAAAAAGAAATAAAGAGTTATAATGTTCATTTATTGTATTCATTAAAAAATATTCTTCTTTTTGTTTGTTTTGTTATAATTCATACCAATTCACTTTAATTGAAGTGGGTTTTTGTATTTAAATCTTTTTTAAATAGTTTTTTATAATCTATTTTTCTATGATTTTTATTGAATAATAAAAGGATAATAAAAAGTATATAAATCAAAACTATTCAATAAAATAAAACGTTTCAATCATTCTCTTTAAGTCCTTTTCTATAAATTCCTTTAACTAACTAGATTATTTTTTTTTTAATTCATCTACATTATTTAACCTCTTGATTCAGATCGTTCTCTTTGTGATATTGATTCTCTAGATCTCGGTCGAGGCATATATCTTCTAGAATTATATTGTTCTTCTCTAGACATTCTAATAGACATACGCATATCATTCGGTCGTTGTACAGTATATGTTCCATCTTGTTCATTAACAATAATATCAGAAGGAATTTTATCTTTACTAATAGTACAAATTCCTTCTTCATCTTCAAATTTAAAACTTTTCATCCAATATTCTGTTCCCCATACAACTTTAGGTGTAATATGTCCTTTAGTTTCTGCTACTCTACGTTGAAGAACTTCTTTTAATTTCTCTGCATCACTTCTTGTTGGTGTAGCAATAAAAGCAAAATGTCTTTCACTTTTAGTTGATACTCTTAATACTTGTGTTACTTCATTTGCATATTCTTTAATTCGGTATTCATTCCAATCACTTGGTAATTGTGTTAATAATATAACATTTGTTTTAATTTTAATAGCATTTACATCATTAGGAATTTCACTTCTTCTTAATATATTAATACAACTTTCAATTAATTCATCTCCAAATGTTTTATGTCTTTGCCAATGTTCTAATAACGTCCTTGCTTTTTCCTTAAAAATTAATTTTTTCTCTTTTCTATAACTTAAAAAAAAACAAAACAAACTCTTGTTGTTAATGGTGTATTACAAATTCTTCTAATAATTTCTGATAATTTATTTGTTAATCTTTGTTCTACTGTAATTGCATTCTCATCAGAAAGATATCGTATTAATGAATCAATAAGATATAACCCCGCTAATAAATATGCTGGTGGTGCTGCATCTATAAATTGTTCAACTCTAAATATTAATGTTTCGATTGAATTAGGATATTGATATACTAAATCAATAATTACTTCTAATGATTTACATCCAACCATCTCAGGTCCATGACTAATATCAATTAAAGCATTTACTAATTTCATATCAAATTGATTAGGGTCATTTGTGCTTGACATCTCTTTTTCTTTGTCTTTTTAGTTCTTCTTTTCTTTTTCAGCTTTCTTATTTTTCTTATTTTCTTTTTATTTCATTTTTAGCTATTCTTTTCTATATCCCTTTTTTTTCCCTCTTTTTTCGGGATTTCTTTTTTTCTTTTTCTCTTCTTTTTCTTCAATTACTTCGAATATTCTCTTTATTCCTTTTTCTCTTTTTTTTGCCACGTTTTCTTTTGTTTCTAGTTTTTTGTCTTTTCTATTCTTTTCATACTGTACTACTCATACTCTTATTTCATCATTTTTTAATACCAACATTCACTTAGAATACCTAAATATTTAAGATATTCATATTTTTAATAACTTCATCACTTATGACATTTTATGTTGTTGTTAATCTTTATTTGATTTTGAATTTTTTGAGTTAAACTATTTTTCTAACTCTTGTTTTACTTTTATTTTCATTGATTTGACGTATTTCGTTTTTATGAGTTCAAATCTTACTATTTCTTTTTCAGTTTTCTTTCATACTTATTCTCTTTCTATTTTTTTTGTTTGTTTAGAGTTTATATAACGTTTTCTATAAATAGTCAATATACAAACGATAAGTGAGTATCTAAGGATTTTCTTTGTTAATAATTATTTTCATTGAGATACAACACAAGAGAATTTTCTGAATATCATTATAAGTTATGAACAATCTTTTGTTTTTTTTGAGATTCACTTTCTTATCCTTTAAATAGTTTTACTTATTATATTTTATAGTATCTTTAATACAACATTATTTTGTTATTTGTCTTTTCGTTTTATTGTTGATGTTTCATCTTGTTATGAAACAAAATAGAAAAAAGTCATTCACTTAACCAAAGCAATATCTCTACTCTTCTATCAATTAACTGATTAGGTATTATTCTTTATTTGTATGACTTTTCTATAATTTCTCATCTGATTTATTGATTCTTTAACATTGTACTTTGATATTCTTCTGATGAATTAGTGTTTGGTCATTATTATTTTAAAATAGTTTATTAGATATTGATGAATAAAAGAATTCTAGAATATACTAATGTAAGAATATAGTATTTATTGGTTAGAATGTATAATCTTTTATGTTTTCTTATTCAATCAATTGACACTATCATAATAAGATTTCTGTCATTTCTAAATCAAGAACATAAATTGTTATTTTGATATAATGTATTTCATTCTGATTATGGATATTAAATATTCATATTGTTTCTTGTTTGTAATATTGAAGTATTTATTAATTTATTTGATTATTTGTTCATATCATATACACACCTACTTTTGATTACTAGTGAATTGTTCCATATTATTTATTAGATCATATAAAACATAATACAATGTATTTGTATTCGAATTAAAACATAAACTTCATTCTGATTATTATTTATCATTATTATATGCATAGTTCTGTCATTTGTGTTACTACAACTAATTTACTTTCTATTATTCTTTATGTTTACTACTGAACGAATAACTTATTTATACTATGACTAGACTGTTATTTTAAATTTAGTTATTTCTTTCTTTATTAATTTGGTGGTAATAGTCTTTGTAATTTCTAGAGTCTTTAACTCTTCTTTTGTTGTAGTTAAACAATTGTTCATTGTTTTTTCACTAGAGAAATACCTTAATAGTTTTAAAAACTTATTTTTGAGAATGACATTCTTGTATTTTCTCAGTATTTCTCTAGTTAAATTATCTACTCTTTATGACCATTACTTTTTCTTTATAAAACAAAACAACCTTTCTATGAATGAATAATTCTTTGTACTGAGTGACGATTAAAGTACACCATTTAAAATAATAAACTTTATAAATCACTGAGAATCATAGTTAGCTTTTTCTTAGTAATTTTTGTTAATCCAAGTTACTGATTGGTATGAATCATTTCATTCTTTTTCTTCTTTGGTTGTACTCTATTTTAACTCAGTTCTTTTAAAGAAATATTAAGAAATAACTATGAAGTATTGCTCAAATACATTTTTTTTAGTTTGTTTTATTCTCAAGAAATTAATGATGATGTCGTTGAATGTGGTGGTGTTATTATTCAAAATCCACAACCAGTTTTCAGGGTTTTGATGTCATTCCTTCTAAATAACTTATTCAAAATGAATTTCTATAGAAGAACTGAAAAAGGAAGAAATTAACAAACAAATGAGTCAAGCTACACCTATTTGTAAGAAAAAGATTGGCATAGAAATGAAACAGTGTCAACAACAAAAAGACCCCCTAATTATTCAAAGGTTTGATCCAAACAACATTCTAAATTGCTATTATATTTTCCTCGGACCAAAAGACACACCATATGAAGGTGGGATGTACTTTGGTAAAGTGACTCTTCCATTTGATTATCCATTCAGACCACCATCTATAGAAATGTTTACTCCATCAGGAAGATTCCAACCAAATAAAAAAATTTGTATTTCAATTTCTGATTTTCATCCAGAAACTTGGAGCCCATCATATAATATCTTCTCTGTATTAATGGGATTACTATCTTTTATGACGGGGACTGATTGTGGTGTTGGTTCATTTCATGATAGTGAGTCAAAAAAAAGACAATACGCCAAAGATTCAATTAGATGGAACCAAGGATTTAAATTATTTCAAGACATTTTTCCTGAGTATTGTTAATTCATAATAACACTGGTTGTTACTCATTTTATCTCTTTTTTTTAATCATTTCATTAATCACTTTAGTTTGTGTTAATATAAATAAAATTAAAACTTGTTTAATTCATTCATCATTCATACTTATTTTATTTTAAACTTTTTGAAAAAAACAACAGCTTAATACTTAGTAGTTTGTTTTATCTGTGATTTTCTCTAAAACTCATTCTAGTTTTATTATTTCATTATGTTTTACCACAAACTGGATTATTCCTGTTAAATACGAATTCATTCTACTAAAAAGGATGAACATAAGATATGACAAACAATCTCGCTTTTATTTAGTTGTTTAGAAAAGAATATTCTATGAAAGAACAATATATTTGAAGTAATACAGAAAATATCACTCTAACTACAATAACTATTCTTCATTTTAATAATGATTAGAAGAGTAACTTAATCTTCTAAAACATAAAACAATATTTAGATAAGATTATTTTCTTTATTTCTTAATTCTTGAGATTCATTTCTTGTTTGAATTCTTTTGTTACATATTTCTTATACTATTTCAGTGTATTTATTATGACTTTCATCATGACATAATCATTTAATCTTTTAGTTCTTTTTATCTTGACTTAGTATGATAAAGCTAAATTGATGAAGGTTAAATTTTAATAGACATTTTGAGAAAGTTATTGTTATTCAATACTGTTTTTATAACCAATTTATTACCTTTTTCATTTATCATATTAGAATGGAGTTTTTAATGGTCGTTCATTTTTATCAATATATCACTGAATTGAACATCATAATACTGAATAAGTTATTTATTTGTTTATTAAAAGTTTGCACTTTTGATAAATTGATACAAAAACAGCTCATCTTTCAATGAAACGTTGATTAAAAATGGTATGTTGCGAATATTTCTCCAAAATCCTTTTCAAAAAAATAAGAATAAATTTGTGCTAATCATTGAAATAAGTAAGTTTTAAAGAGATTAGAACGATAATTAAACTAACAATACATAAAGTACAATTAGTTTGTATTAATACAATCCATGTAAACAATGAAAATAGTATTATAACAATGATTTAATAAATAAATGATATGAATTAAATGTTATTATTTATATTTTATTATGTTCTTTTTCATTAAAAGAAAATATCAAATTAATTTTGGATTTATTCTTTTACTAATTGTTTAGATGAGAATTTATTTATACTTATCAATACTTGTTATTTTTGTTTCATATACATCACATTATTTAACAGAATGTCCATCACTTTATTTCTTGTATTATTTTTATATTTCTCATTAATACTCTTTTGTTATAACTTCTATGCTATCTTAATCATTTCATATTTCATTGTTCTTAATGTTTCTTTCTTTTTAAATCAAATCAGTATGATTATAATTAGAATGGTCATCATTCTCTTCATTCTTTCTATTGTTATATTGTATTTTTACAATATTTGAATCGTATTCAATTTGTATGTGAAAGTATTATTATTTTCTTATTCAATATTATAGTCATATTAAATATAATTGATTCTTTTTTATCATAAAGAATGAAATAAGAGAATTAAATAAAGAATAATCAATAATAATTCATCATTCATTAAATATAAATAAATTATAATATTTAATATAAATATATTATTTATAAATGAAATTGATATTACAGCTTAAATATAATAAATATATAAATTAATAGAATAAGAGAATATAAAGAAGAAAATAATAATAAAATAAGATATATTCATTATTATTTTATATTAGATGATATTTTATTATTTTATATTTGTTTATATTGTTTGTTTATATTTTATTATTATTATTTATTGTTGTTTATCTTATATCATTTATTTATTATATGTTGTATTGATATTTAACAATGTTAATAAGAAATGAATAATAATGAATAAATATAAAATAAGAATAAAATGATAAGAATATAACATAAATAATAAAATAAGAAATATATAATAGATATAAAGATAAAAAGAAGAAGAATAAAATAAATAAATATAAAATAATATAAATAAAATAAAAAATAAATAAAAAAGAATAAAATAAATATTTTATTATATTTTTATTTATCTTTTATTCTTATTTCTTTTTATTATTTATTAAATTAACACATTGAATATGAATATTTCAAATAAAATAAAAACAAGAATGAAATATGACCATTTTTATATTCACCATTTCATTTATTGACAGATGAAATGATCATATTCATTTATTGATTTTATTTTATATTCTTTTTTATTTTTATAATTCAAATAAATAATAATGAATAAAAATCATTTCATTTCAATTACAATGATTCGTTCTGGTGTGAAATATTCTTGTTTTCCACAAAGTGCATTTGGTATTCCTTTAAATTCAAATGAACATTGATTACAATATGATTTTGTTTTATTATTTTCTTTATAAACCCAAATATCACCAAAAAATCCAAATGTAAACAAACAATCACCTGATTGATTAGATGAACAAAATGCACATCTTGGATCATCAATATCAAATTTCATCATTCCTTGTATTCTTCCTTTTGATTCTAATGAAAACAAAAATGAATTTGGATCATATATCCAACAAAATTTATCAATTTTAGCATCAACATATCCTCCAAATTTATTTCCATCTGTATCTTCAATAATAATTATTATATGTTCTTTATTCCATATTCTTTGATTAAATATTGATGTATTAACATTCCAATTATCAATATCTGAATTAAATAGAATATTTCCTATTTTTCTTTCTGTCAATTCTTCTATTTGTTTAATTATTTCTTTTGTTTTATTAATTGATATGTTATTTGGTGTTGATGATGTTATTCCCATTATTATTTATTTTTAAGTTTTTATTTTTAATAACATTATTTATTTTAATGTTATATATCACATTTTGTTATTTTTGGTATTTTATTAAATCTCATATTTATTATTAAGTTCATTTTATGTTTTTAATAACATTTTAATTAAAATGTTATTATAAAATAACATTTATTTCTTCTTTTTGTTATTTATTTTTATATCTTCTTTCTGTTCTTTTTTTTTTTATCTTCTTTTTCATACAACTAACATAATATTTGATACTTTCTTTTTATTTCTTTTCTTAGTTTTTGGTTAAAGATAGCATAACAAAGGCATCACACATAATATTAAAAGAATTAAAGCATTGATTCATAATTATCATCTGATTATAATATTACTATTGGTTAAAAAACATCTTAATCAATATTGTAAGAATACCAGTGATTATTATTTTTGTTGATGGGATATCATTTTTAATAAGAGTACTTATTTATAAATGTAATACTATTATTTACTTGTTAGAATAAACGTATATTTGGTAATGAATGGATGAAATTGAATATAGTTATTGTTAATGAAAATTGTGCTACTTGATGATGTTAAATGAAATTATTCATAATAATATAGTGGTAATAATATAATCAACATAAGATAAGAAAGCAAAGAATGAAGATTATTAATACACATTAAAACTAAATAAAAATGAGATAGTTAATTAAGTGATGAATAATTAAGATGAAGGTTTGAAAAGAGATTGATTTAATCTAAATAAAAGAGTGATGAACAGAAATTCACACTTCTCAACAAAATGAAAATCTGAATAATATGTTAATAAGTAAACATTATTAAAACGCAATGATGTGATTAATCTATAGAAAACAAAGACTAGTATAAAACAAAACTAATAACACTTAATTATCTCCTTTTTATTTATTTTTATTAAGAATATTATCTTTTTTATATTTTGTTATGTTGAATATAAAGAATTATTTCATTACATTAAATCTATTATTATTTTTTATTCTTATATTCATGAATCTATCAACTAACATAAAAACATCTTGTTCTAAAGAATCATTTAATAAATTAAAACTAAATTTATCATTCAATTATATTATTTAATTTCAATGAAATATATTCATTCATTAATAAATTATTTATTTATTGTAATGAATATTCAATTAAATATGTTTATTTAAAAAGATGAACGAATAAATATATTATTTAATGAGTTAATTAATTATTGATTTAATTAACATCCATATTCAATATAACACATTGAAATATATTGAATATTATTAAAAGAGAATAAGTTAAATAAAACAATGTAAATGAAAAATAAAGAAATTAGTTTAGATTTAATGAATTTAATAATGAATGATAATTTTAAATAATCAATTATTATTTCATTAATAGAATGATTTATTAAATAGGAAACAAGATATTAACATCATTAATAAATGATTTAATTATCATTTAAATCAGTTTTTATTTTATATACTGTATTATTAAAATCAAATGACATACAACGAATATTAAATATAATGAGATTATTAATATTTATATTGTTTTATAATCACTTTGTAATGATATTCAATATAAATTATTATTTAATAATGACGAAATATGTTTCAATGAATTAGTTAATAAGAAT